CGAAATAGGGTGAATACATCTCATTACACTGATTTACTGGTAGTCTCGAAACCCTACTTACTTATGAATAAAAGCGGTTGTGCCTCCCAGTATCATTACATTTACATACCATGGGTACTGTCCCAGTGAATTCTTCTATCAACTTAATTATTATTTCTACCTCTCAACAGGCATAGTTACACTTACATCGTTTATTTTGAACAAACGAGCTCACGCAAAACAATAGCAACAGAAACAGAATGGAAGCTAAAATTAGAGAGTGATCTTGCAAAAGGCAGCCAATCCTCATTGCATATTGGCAATTACATCAGCCAACCTGTAGTTGGCGAAACTTAAAAAATAGTAAAAAGTAAATCTTAGGGAAGCCAAGTTGTAAACTCACAGGAGAAGTTAGACAGACTCCGTTGATGCAGACTCTGGAGTTGCAGGAACTCTTGAAGGAATAGCAATTATCAAATGGTACAGTCGTGTCGCGCTGGAATTCTGGGCCACATTGACACTGGTAATAGGAGGTGCCCATTAACGGGAAGCATTTATTCAACGGACTAGCTTCTATGTAGCAGGCTTGAGCTCCGGATGGTCTGTACGTAGAGCTGGGCTTAGCTATACGATTAAATGCCGAATCCACAATACAGGGGTTCAGGAGGCTGGAGCAGTCGTGGCCCATGTAACCTTCGTGGCAAATGCATCTGGCGGAGCCTGTTCAAAAGAATGCAGATCATTTATTTAGCATTACTAAGGAAAGGCCTGATTCAAAGGCTCCCTTGAGTCTGTATCTTCTTGTAAAAGTTGGTTGTAAGGAATTTATGAATTGATAGCACCGGAAACTGAAGAAGGAATGATTGCCGTGGAGTGAAGATTGTTGGATTGTGCCAAGAAGTTCTCGGCTTACCGTCTTGCGGCTATAATGAACTCGTCACATGACGAATGAAATCTTAATACAGGTTGATCGGAGCCACAGGACGGTGAGCTGACGACTTCATCTTACAATCCAACAGGCTTTAAGGCACGTCATTCAGTCCTCCTTTTCTTTCGAAATGACAAGTTAAATCCCACATTAATTAAACAATCGGCCAGCTACAGAACTGTAGTGCCATTAGGCAACAAGCTGAAGTAGCTTGGCTATCGTGATCTGGAGATAAATAAAATGCCTAGCTGACACCCCTTGCAAATATCCTCAATTCAAGTATTAATATTTCGTTTTGAGTAAAATTTCGAGACTACCAGTAAATCAGATCTTAGGGGTTATGTTCACTCTTTTTTGTTTAAGGTGATGAAGAGCTGGTAGTTGAATTTTCACACAATAATATGTGTAGAGCTGACGCTTCAATTGAATTTCACACAGCCTTGCTTTCCCAAAAGGTGTTCTCATTCAGGCAGGAGTGGACAGCCGTTTCGACCTCGCCTATATCATTTCAATAGGCCCAGCGGGAGTCGAACCATGACGGTGCAGCGTGTCATCTCGACCCAACAACTACCACTTATTTGCTGGTAGTCTCGAAAACCTATTCAAAACGAAATATAAGCAATTTAATCGAATACTATAGCAAATCAATGTTTGCTTCATCAACAATCCCCAACACAGAATGTGATATGAGAAAATGTCTGGCCTTCCTTGAAATTCACCTCTACCCCCTGACCCAAGGGCACCCTTGACAATGTGGTGTAGTAGTTAAGGCGTCCAGATCACACGCTGCATTGTCAAGCTTTGACTCCCGCTGGGTGTGTTGGTAAGACCGATGCGAGGTAGAAACTGCAGTCCACTCTGGATAAAAACACATTTTGGGAGAGCAAGACTATGTAAAATTATATTCAAGGGAAACGTCAGCTGTGCTCATATAATTGGTGGGGAATTCAACTACCAGCCCTTTACCACTTTAAAACAAATAGGGGGAGCCTAATTCAAGTATTTGCATCACAAAATGCAACAATTTGAAGTAGTACAATTAACACGAAATTAGTTAATGCATCAAAATCCTGAGATTCACGTCATACCTAAAAGATAGCTAGCAATCTTTGTCTAAATTCATATGAACCGGCATCCCTGATAAATATTGAGCAAAAATAGAGATCTAAGATAAATCATCGGTGCATTTGCTACTCGGACGCGAAAGGCCATTAGGAATCTGAGTTTTTCTGGGTATGGTATTTCAAATCTCAAAAATTCTAAGTTTGAGCATCTTTTCAAGAAATGCCTTGAGGTTGCACTAAAATTTGCCTCTTCACGCCTCCCAAAAGGTAATTGCAGTACAGGCTCGACTGCAATTTCAACTCATTTTCAATGTTTTATCATAGTCCCCGGAGGAATTCGGAAGGTTTATACGCGGGCTCAGAGGCGATTATCACGACAACTAAACCACACGATCACTTCACGCCAGACTAGTCAACACTATTAAGAACAAGTGGGCAAAGCAAATCTTTTTGTTATAATAGTTAACGTAATTTAATTTTGCCTCAAAGTAATAATTCCAAATTAAAGCCCTATTAAAGGACTGATAGATGAATTTTCATACAGTAAAATAGGTAAGCATAACGTTCCCATTAATCTTTAACACAGCCTTGCTATCCAAAAGGTAGTACTATTTCGGCTGGTGTATACTGCGTCTAAACTGGTCGCACCAGCACCCCCAGCGGGACTCGAACCCGGGTAGTGGTAGTGCAGCGTGTAATCTAAACACGGTAACCACTACGCCACATTGCTTGAGTGTCCTTAGGTCATATGGTAGATACATTTCAACGAAGGCCATTCTGTTCCAATATCACACCTTTGCTGTGTGTTTATAGACTACAGTACTTATATTCAGATTAATTACTATTTGAAAATACTGATGGATTTTAAATAAAAACAGTATTCAACCTTGGTCACATTAAGTAGTGAAGAATTAAAGGTTGAATTTTTCGAAAAAGGATATGAATGAGCCTAAGGGTTTTCATTTACATTTAATTATCAGTCCTTCATAACCTTATACAACCTACAGTTTTTATTCAAGATTAAATGCATGATATGGAGAATGATAGCTGAATTTTCCCATAATCAAAATTCCATTTAATTTCACATAGCCTTGTTTTTCCAAAAGGTTTTCTAATCTTGCCTGGAATGGACTGCAGCTTTTAGCTCGCCTAGGTCTTATCAAAACCTCTAGCGAAAGTCGAACCATGACAGTGCAGCGTGTGAGATCAACGCATTAATCAGTATACCACATTGCCACGAGTCCCCTTGGGTCACAGAGCAGAGTGAATTTCAAGGAAGGCAAGGACTTTTCTCATATCTCATTCTGTGGTGGGATTGTATATGAAGCAAAGTTATATTTTCTAATTTCGTTTATAAGTATGTTATTGAGACAGCCAGTAGATCATAATATGAAATGTATTCACCCTATGTCTCGTTTAAGGTAATATGATTCAATGATATTTTCAATAAATACTAAATCGGAATATATTAAATTCAAACTTTTTCGTAAATTGTTTATTTCAGGATAGAACGTTTTATTCTAATGGTGTTTCGATGGAAGGTTATTTATTTTGCTCTATACTTGATCCATTTAGATTCAGTGATTTCCAAATAATTTGTTCTTAAAAAAAGCAAATTTCTAGCGGCATGCCTCTGTGAAACCACGATCGCTTTTCATATCATTTGCCTAATTTATTTTATCACCAATAGCTTATTCTAAACTGTTTATTATTCGGCTTTAAAAGAAGCATATAATCCGTTGCAGTCCTGCCAAACTTGTTTAGCCTCGTTATCTTGGTCATCAGACTTCCGTTGCCCAACGTGAAGTGAGCTTATCTTTCTTATTGATGCTTTGGGTCAGAAGGCTAAGGGTTGCTTCGGCGGTTCTAACGATTTTGGCCAATGACTGCTCGTCGTACTATAAAGATCAGGTCAAGGTTACACAAGGCAGGCAGTAATATAGTGTCGTTATTGAGTAGGTTTTCGAGACTACCAGTAAATCAGATATATGAGATGTGTTTACCCTATTTCGTTTAAGGTGATGAATGACTGGCAGTAGAATTTTCCCACAATGATATGATTAGAGTTGACGTTACCATTTAATTTCACACAGCCTTGCTTTCCAAAAGGGTGAACCCAACTCATATGTTTAATTTACTGGGGGTCTCGATAACCGACTAAACAACGAAAAAGTTATGTCGTCGATTGCTATAGCAAATATAAGTTTGCTTCATCGACAATCCCAAACACAGAATGTGATATTGAAAATGCCTCACCTTCCCTGAAATTCACATCTGCCCTGTGACCCAAGGGCACTCGTGGTAATGCGGCGTAGTGGTTAAGGTGTCGAGATTACACAATGCACTTTCATGGTTCGACTCCCTCTAGCGGTGTTGATAAGACCTATGCGAGGTCGAAACTGCAGTCCAA